AGAAAATAAGCCGTAAAAGCTGCGCGAGAGAGAGAGAGAGAGATACTTATATATGAGACGGGGCCATAGGGCGGTACAGGCACTCGCGAGCTGAACCTGTTCCCTAGGGAGTTCCTTGACCCGGTCGGGGGCTCTCGCGTGTGTGCACACAGCCTCTCGCGCAGCAGCAGTTGGCGGCAGCCAGTGGCGCTTCTATCCGAGGCTCTCTCGCGTGCGAGGCCTTTCTTTATGCCGCGAGCATGGGCCCCTATGGCAAGATAGCCGCGGAACCGAGAGCGAGAGAGAAGGAGCAACTCGTTACCTACGGCGGCACTCAAGGTCCGGCCGAGGGCAAGTCTCGCGAGAGAAGACAGAACACGCCGGGCCTGGTGGGGGGAGCTTTAGCCGCTGCCCGCTGCCTGCGCGCGAGACTCAGAAACGCAAGGATAAGCCCCAAATCGCACTCGCCGCCGCCTGTATAAATTGCTTTTCCTTCTTTTTCTTTCGCATTCTGACGGCGAGTTTTAAAGAGGCACACAATGTTTCGGCAACCTTCGGAATTTCGCCTTTTGTCATCGAGGCTTTCGCTTTGCGCTTTGGGAAAATCGGCACTGTCAGACTAGCGGCAATTGGAATTTCAGCCGCGCCTCTTCGACTGCTTGCGTGCCAATCGCTATGCCTTTTGAATTTGCAAAATGCGCTTAATGAAGTGCACACACAATGCTTGCGCACCAGCTGCTCGATTTAAATTCAGGGATCGGAACGACCACGTCGATGTAGTTAATTTTTGGCAATCGCTGCGAACGCAGAGCTTTTACGATTTTTTTTTCCAAGAACTTAAACAAGGACGCAAACAGTATGGCTTTGGATTTCTAATGAGTTTCCAGTCAATTTTCACCAAAGTTATCTTTTACTTGTTATTTCAAAAGAAATTTTGATTCGCTAGAAATAAAGATAACTGTGAAAATAATTCGCAACAATCATCCTACGAGAAATGCTGGAATAAAAAAATGAAAGCTTTTAAGAAATTAAGTTGGGAAAGGCAGAACAAAAAAAATTACAGAGTTCGAAGATACCACCGGTATAGTTTGGTTGAATGAACGCAAAATTAAGAGAATCCATAAGGGCACACAGGAGAGCGAGGAAAAAACGAGGGCGCATAAAAATGCAATGTGTAACGCAGCAGCTCACCCGAAGCTGTATACCACTTATACACTCGCGTATGTATAGCGTTATACAGTTACGGTAGTCGATGCGAATGAGAGTTGGTCGTTGGAAAAAAGAAAATGGGCTCGCGACAATGAACGCCAGAAGTATGCGAAGCACGCGACGAAAAATTTTCGGGTGGCGAATAATTTGCGCGCAGGGATCGACACACATATGCGCAGACACGATGAATAATGGATGAAGCTTCCGTCGTGTGTCCCTCGTCGTTATTCGCGCGACCCCAAAGCCACGCGCTCTTCCCTATTTCGTGGATGATCCCGTTTCTTATTCCTTGTCATTTCCTCGTCTCATTTTCTTCTTTTATTCGCCAAGTGTAAATCACGGCGGCGCGCAAGTGCTCGCGCATACAAATTACACGCGGCGTCGTGAGAGATCGATCGATCGAACATCACATACGCATACAGTGAATGTGCACCGCGTACATATATGATCTCCGCCTCTTCGTCGTATACGCGTGATGTGCTCTTCATCTCTCCGTATTCGTCAAATTAAAATTTACATGTCTCCGTATGGTTGAAACAGGTTGCAGTATAGGTGTGCATGTGTGCGCAACGACGAGGACGACGACGACGACTGACTTTCTTTTACTTTGTGCTTCGGTTCCCGCGCCGCCTACCTGCGCGATGTAAGTATATAGCTCGGCACTTTGCGAGTGCTGCGTGCACGTGTACACATGCCGGAGAGCGCAAGAGATGTTCCCCGAGTTTTTCGGGTGATTGAGTGCGTTACCTCGCCTCGTTTATTAATTAATTGAGACTGTCTACCGATGTTTTACGTTCTTGTGTCTCATGTGAATATTATACTTGTTTCTTTACCGTTATTCCATAGAAACAGCTGACTACATTTGATATTACTGCGTTTCTACTATTATCAATTATCTAAAGGATCTCCATCAAATTTCGTTTCGTCAACGAATACGCTGGATTTGTTACTGACATTTTACAAACTTTTGGTCATAGCGATCGAAAGCTTATCCCGGAATAACACGATCTGTGTCAATAGGTTACAAAATATCGCAACATCTGTGCTTCAAAATCCCAAATACAAGGAATCTTACAGTTGTACTGCAGTATTGTGCTCATGGCCGACATATTCGGTAAATAAATTTCTGTTGGAATAGATGGCGCGTTTCATTTTTTCTGCTTTCTCGTCCAAGTCATGGAAAAAGAGTGCTGGGATGATGTCAGGGTTTAAGAGCCTCGTGTGCTCTACGCGCGCTCGCCGTATGCGAACGCGCACCTCGGCAGCTTGACGACGCTGCGACGCCACTCTCTAGCACACTACCGAGCTTGACGGCCGTGTTCACGAGAAGTTTTTTATGCTGAATGAATGCTTTTTTGAAGATTACTATTACTAAAGCCCTTCTATCTTTCTCCCTATCAGAAGATTATCATACGTAAAATCAACGATTTGTCCGACGGCGAAACGCGTCAATTCAATGAAATGCATTTGTCCACGCAGAGTGGGGTGTAACTCGCTTGCTCGCTGCACAGTTAAGCACACACATCGCATGGGAGTTCGCAAATTACGCATCATGTGCACATATCGTTGTCCCTTGGTTTATTTATCGCGCTGTGCGTGCGCGTGGCGCGAGAGAGGGTGTGGGACAATCCGCGGTAGCTGCGCGAGCTGATGAAACCGATTGTAAGATCGCGCAGCATCCTGTCTGTCTGCGTGCACGTGTATGAAGCGAAGCACAGCAAGTGTATAGCGTGTAATGCTGAAGCGGCATTATACACCTACGGATAGAAAGGAGAGTTTTGCGAGAGTAGCATACTAGATAGAGAGAAAGAGAGGAGGAGATACGTAGCGTGAGTGCATGCACACGTAAACGACTTGAAGCTGTGCAAGTCGCCTTTCTTTATTTTTCGCCGCCGCCGCCGCCGTCTCTCTCTCTCTCTCTCTCTCTCTCTCTCTCTCTCTCTCTCTCTCTCGCTCTTTCGCTCTTTCTCATTCGCTGAGTTTCTGTCGTGGCTCGCCGGAGTTTCTGTCTGGCGCTACGCGACTTGGTACATCCTTCTTGACTTATTCTCTCCGCTGATTTAAATACAATTTCGTGCAAAATACCACGAGAAAGAGGGCCTTTCTTTTACACATGCTTACTGTTTTATTGAGCGAGCTTTAATCGCTATAAACGATGTCAACTGGCGTTATTGTACGCATCGACGAACAGTTTAATACCGAGGGAATTAAAATTGAAGGTTTCTTCATTATATAATCGGTTATATACTTTCGCGCATCATCATCAAGTCGAATCTCTTGATAGTGCGCTCTGCTCAAATAAGTATCCTTTTTCCCTCTTTCGTTTCCTGTTATGAATCGTTAACGGGCATCTGTCACGTACATGTATTTTTTTGCTCGCACTTCTTATCAGTTGGCTGTCTCTTCCGAAGGCTATCACGCTTCAACGCGCTTCCAATGAAGAGACGAGAACTTTAATTTGGGAATTACTGCTCGCCATGAGCCAGCGAAAAAGCGAAAAAAAAAAAAAAAAAAAAAAAAACTCGTTTCCCCAGTGTAGTCGTATAATGAAATGGCATCCTGCGAATCTTTTGGCCATTTGCGACGACCTCGAGACGAACGGAGAGTTCCGAGGTTCCTTCTCAGTTGCAAGCACAGGGATAATCTGGCCCGCATCCAAGTTTGCAAAGTTGGTCCGAAAATATCTGTACATATCGCATTTGAGATATGCGCGCTCGCAAGTAGCATTCGCCATGAGAGCTTGTCTGCGGGGTCCGAAAATATCTGGCTGTCGGTCGGCCGCTCACCTACATACATACGCGACAATATCGCGCAGAGGACCACATGGGTGTGCAGCGAGACTGGCGCACGAGCGAGAGAGACAGACAGGTTGAAGCTATAACGGGGCGTAATGGAGGGGCAGTGCAAGAGGCGACGAGAAAAGGGAGAGAGAGAGAGAGAGAGAGAGAGAGAGAGAGAGAGAGAGAGAGAGAGTCATCGAGAGAGATTTTCAGAGTTCCCCTTTGGCAATGATGTGGGGAGGCGTTCGCGAGAGAGCTACACAGCACGGCTCGCTTAGAGTGGATAAGGTGGGAGCGAGCGGCGACTGCGCTGCTGGCGGTGGGGAGGCCCGCAGGCCGGCCTGCGGCTCTCGAGCTCAGTGTCCCTCGAGCAAGCGTTTGCTACGGCTCATGCCGCCACCGCTCTCGCTGCACCGCTCTCTCCGCTTTCGTACGTACATTCATCCGCGGTCTTCATAAAACAGTGCCTGCCTATTAATCTTCGTCTTTTTCTTATATTCTGAAATAGCAAATGAGTGCGACCCGAAGAAGCCTGCTGCCGGGGATTGTTATTCGTTGTTATCAATTGTTGCCTCTCTTCTGACTGAGATACAGCAAGAAATTGTTTACATATGATACGCATATCGGGACAAGTGCAACACAGTACAGATAGCTATCAGTGTGTGTGAGCGAGAGAGAGAGAGAGAGAGAGAGAGAGATTTGCATCCGAGAGAAGCACGGTGTGCACGATTCTTGAGAGACGGGCCGAAGGGAGAAGGGGTCACGAGTTCTCCAGGTCAGGTCGCGAGCGAGCGAGCGAGCGAGCGCAAGCGACTTAGAAGTAGAGAGTTTCTTCGTCGAAGGTGCGCTATAGTACAGCGAGAGAGAGAAAGATAAGTGAGCGGAGGGAGAAACGAAAAATATCGCCTTCGCCGCTTGCGAGCGCGAATGCAGCATCCCCGCGTGATGTTGTGTTGAAGCCATAGTGAGCGGAGAGCGCGAGTTGAGTTCTCCGTTGTAAAAGTGGAGCGCCAAAACAGATAGAACAAAGAACAGGTGCGTGTGTGTTTTTTCGTCTTTCTGTCACGTGCTACTGATATTCACCTGTTGCGCCGTCGCTGCCAAAAGAAAAGGAAAAAAACGAGAAAAAAGTGTGATAGGTCAGATAAGCCTGCCTGCCCCTTCCAAAAATAGTGCTGGATTCGATTTCTGTCAGTGTTGTGGTGAAAGCAAGAAGAAGCAGAAGTGTTTTGTATTTGATAAAAAAAAGTGAGCCAGAAGCGAGCTTTTCGATTGGTTGGTTGTTTGTTGTGTCGGTCGAGGAGGCCGCTGTGTCTCGCTAGCGGAACACGCGGCCCGCAAAGGGGAAGGAAAGAAGCTGCGAGTGCAACGGCAAGCAGCAACAACAGAACAACGACAAGTGGTGATGCGGTAGTCGTGGGTTAAGCCCCGAGGGAAGCCATGAGGACGGCCGCCGCCTACGTCCTGCTTCTTGCCCACCTCATACAGGTACGTTTGTGTGCGCACCTCCCCCCCCCCCCCCCCTCACCTCCTCGTTGACGACGAGACCGACGAACGACGATACGTTTCTCATGCGTCTACTCGTCGAGTCTCGTCAGCCGTGTCGCACAGCGAGCCGAAGAATTTCAATGAATAAAAGTCACTGTTTGGAGAGCTCGGAGACCGATCAATTATCGCTATTAGTTTTAACTGTCCGAGTTACGAAAGCTCCGAGGTACATTCCTTGGCCGAGGCTGATTACAGCGCTGCTGCCGGTTAATAACAAACTTTGTTTTGTTGGCTAAATTACACGGTCGCGCGTAAAATCCACACGCAATATGTGAAAAAATCCGATCGTTACCGGTAAAAGCTCGTTCGCTAAAAATATCGCCTTTTTCTCTCTCCTTTGCGCGGCTTTATTTTCTGTTCGACGTATGCAGGCAGCGCCAGCAGCAGCAGCAGCATGTGCTGCATGGCGAAGGGAAAGTTGCAATAAAAAGGATGCGCGCTCGGGCTATGCAGCGTCATAAAAGCCGCAGTGGCGGCGGCGACGCTTCAACTATTGCTAGTGAGTATCGTACATGTGGCACTGTGGCACTGGCTAGTAGAGAAGCAGATGTTGCCGGCGGGGCTCCTAGCTATTCGCTTGCTATTCTCACTCAATAAACTGCGTGCTGAAGACCCGTGTAAAATCTGCTTGCGCGGCCGATCGAGCAAATAGAAAGCCACCGCGGCAAAGACGCTTAGACGCACATGGTTAAACCGTGTCACCGATGACTCTGGCCAAAGCTAAGTAGGCGCAAAAAACGGAGCTTCGCGCTTGCACGTATACGGCAGCAGCGGAAGAGGCGCCCATATTTTGTGCCGGACAAACGCACGCGCGCGTACAGCTATTGCCATTGATGCACACTGTGCAAACGAAAGTCAGAGGCTCATCACGTACGTTTAATCGAGAAACGAGATTCTCTCATCCACCGCCGCGTCGCAGCAGAGCGACGTTCTTTTATCCTCTCTCTCTTTCATTCTAGGCAAGACGTTTGCTCGTTTCCGGTTTCTCTCTCGACCGGTGGAGAAAGAGCATCATGCATGCATACGCGATTATTGCGGGGCCCTTCTCTCGTCTTGGGGCCGGATAATTCAGGGGAAATTATGGGCGAAATTAGAGGGAAGCGAGCTTATTGTTTTACCCGCACTTCTGCACTGCGCTACGCATACGTACACACACACACACACACACACAGTCAGAACTTGAGAGGGGGAGAGAAAGAGAGAGATAAACGCCTACTGATAAGGGCGTATAAGATCCTTTGTTCTTTGCCTGAAGCGATCGTGTGCCGACGTTACGCCCGCCCGATTCTCTCTCTTACTACGGACTGCCAATCTTCTCTCTCTGTCTCTCCAGGATTGTTTGTTCATTGATGTCAGGCTTGCCGCTTTTTCGGGGAGTAGCTTTGTTTGCCTTTTCCCTCTTATCTCATGTGCCTGCTTCTAACCGGCAATGATTAAGTACAGCTGCTTCGACTATTTTACAAGCACCTTGCGTTATCTCGCTAATTGTCCCGGCAATTGTCTGTCGTTACCGCGAGCAGCAACGATTTCCAAACTTACGCACGACCGAACATTCATCGGATTCTCATCGATTAACACAGCGGCTCTTGTACTTTTATTTGCAGCAGCGTGAATCGAGCTTTTAAAAATATTAGCGAAGAGAGCAGGTGGAAAAAAGCTTAGGAATTTATGCACTATCGCGCCTGCGTTAGTTGGGTTTAATGCAATACTAATTTATTAATTCTCCACTCGCGCGGAATATAAGTACTAATGTTAGCGGTCTGATAAATGTCCGGCGATTAAATCAAACAATTATGACATCGCTGCGGCAGCATGCGACGAGGCGCGCACACGCATATTCTCCCTCTTTCGAGATTCCTCTGCTGACTTTTTTGTTTTTCCAAGCGAGCGGGGAGAGATAAGTATTTCCCTATGCCCGCCGCCGACGCACGTGTTTACAAGCTGCGATAATTCACAAGGCGCGTATATGTCGCCGAATAGAGTCGCGCGGGAAAAAGAGGAAAAAAGCTCTGTCGCGGAGGCTGCTGAATTTTCAATTGGTTTCTTGGCTTGTTCCCATGGCAAAAGACCACCTTTGGCTTCAATAATTCAAGCTCCTTTTAAGCGACGACACCCAGTGTGCTTGCGCAAGATAAATTCACCTCGCGCAACTTTTCTACGTATCTATCCGCTTGGCTTACGTGTGTGTGTGTGTGTACGCGCGCTGCCGCTCCATGGGAGCGCCCCGCGGAACGAAATGCCAAGTCGACGCAACAAAGAGAGAAGCTTGAAAACGCCCCGCGAGATATAGACTTTGCGTCTCGTTTTTTATTCTTCTTTCCCAGCGCGACTACTCCGCTTGCCAAATTTCCTTTTGTTCCTAGTAGCTGCTGTACTGTGTAGCACGAAAACTTCTCAAAATGAAACAACGCCACCGGAAGTAAGTGACGGGGAGAGGCGAGTGCGAATTTTTTTCCCGTCGCGCGCGCGGATTTAAGTGTCCTGTATGTGCGTGCGTGCAAGCAGAGTCTTTGTAGGATTGGAATTCGAGGTATGCCCGGTTAATTAGATTTATGGCTGGGCGATGTAATTCTTTGTCTGCAGGAGAGTATAGGCACGATTCTTCTCTCTGTCACTCGAAAATGTATTTTTGCATGCCAGAAAACCAAAAAATTCTTCGAACGTAAACATTAAAGCCGTTCGTCGAGCTGAGTGCTTGGAAATTCATTTCAGAAAAATTCCATAAATTTTATTTTTCGAGACTGTGCACATTAAGCGCGAGGCATAGCTGTAATTCAGCAAACTCCCCTCGTTCTTTAATATAGAAAGAAAAAAAGAAAAATACAAAAGATATTCGAAATATATGTACGTGCATTGGCCCCCCATTCATAGGTAATAATTTTAATACTTTTGCTCAGGCATCATGCACCCAATACTATAAAGCATATTTCTACATAAACAAAACAGCTTCCTTCCTCGTGCACTTCCACTGAATTGTGTCGGCTTCGTATTTCCTCGCTTACGTACCCCTCCCGGGCATCTGTACCTATATTACGAGCGGTAATTGCGTCGCACGCGCGCGTAATCGCCTCTTCGGCCGTCGTCGGGGCATTAGCATATATAGGGAGGCGTGCGCGCTTTTATGTAACCGTGAAGGGGGCAAATAGGCGAGAAATTCAATGACGCCCGTCGTTGTTAATCGAGTGCGCGCATTTGAATTTACTTTCTTTTCGCCGCGTCGAAGCTTTTTCGGAGTGCGAGCGGACTAAGGGCTCGTCGAATTCCCTTTTTTTTGTCCGATGCTTAATATAGTATACATGCACGCGAGGAGGGCTTCTTCTTCATCTCCGCCAGAAAGAGAGATGCTGGCTCTGCCTGCACTGCGACTTTTAAATGACCGCTTAAATTGCGATGATGTATCTTGAGGTTTTTGCAGGACGAGCTGCGCCGCACGCGTGCGGTTATACTGGTTTTTCAAGGCAAAGCATCATGCAGCACACATACGCTCGCTCACTGCCTCCGAGGATTTTCTTGCCCTTTGATCATCCATGCCAGTGTACATGCTAGATAACTGATTCAAGAAACAATTGACTTTTCTTTATGCTATTTTATCTTTTCTGCTGCGGTTTTCTGCGTGCGTCTTGAGAGATTTTCACGAGAATCGGCTGTGCTCAACATTGCTAATTACCGTCGTACTTTTATCCAATGATCTCTAATGTTTCTTCAAAATATTCAGTTTTTTCCCATTGCTAATCAAGCAGTGCACGGCAACTCGGCAAATAGATCGTTACACTTCAATTATACGAAAACCTTTGAGTTTTGCTGCAAGTCACAAATGACAAATTAACAAAAATATTTATCTTGAAATCCACTTGACAAATTCAGAAAAGAGAGAAATTTGCGTACTACGGTGTAGTGAAGCTAAGCAAGCGAACACCGTGAGTGCACAGGGGGCAAAGAGAATAATGGAGAGCTTATGGTGGAGTGAGAGAGAAACGACGAAAAGTCTTTGCTTATACTTGCGAGTGCGCGCGCGCGCGTGTGCTTGCTTACTTACTCGCTTCAAGAGGCCTTATACGCTGCTCGCAGGCACGTATGTACAAACACACGGAGAAGAGCGCTTTAAAGCGACTTTCGAAAAGTGCTCGCTCCTTCGGGCTGATTTCTTTCATCTGCAATTAAAGACCTCCGCCTTTCTCTCTCTCTCTCTCTCTCTCTTTCAACGCTTTCAATTTAAACTCCAGCCCTATTACCGTTATAAACGCAGGCGCGCGCGACGAAAATTTGCGGCTGCTACTACTTCTTTTTTGTCATCGCCATGACCGCAGGACACGACCTCCTTTACCTTTGGCGCTTTTTTTTTTGCAAGGTGACTGCGGCATAGAGGACGATTTTCGCCGCAAGTATTGGGGCAATAAAACGGCTCGTACTTTTAACGACTGTTACGCGCGCCAATGAGATTTCAAGCAACGGGCCTTTCAATCGTTCCACACGAATGTTTTTCATTCCGAAATTGAAAAAAAGCCGTCCGCGGAATGCAGCCTAAAGTGAACAAGTTGGCAAATCATTTTGCGCGAGGATTAATAAATACGAGTTAAGGGTTTTCAGTGGATTAGCCAAAAAGAGGCCAGCGAGAATAGAAAGCAGCATGGTCTGTGTTGTGTGTGCGTGTGTGTGTCGTAAACAAGCCCTTATCGTCGATCAATAAAAAGAGTACGTCCTTCGTCTCTTGCTTGCTTGCACTCGCGCCGATAAAAAGCCCGCAGGGAGAGGAGTTGTGAAGCTAAGTGCACGAGAGACAGTTGTAAATCTTATATAGCGCGGGAGAAAGGAGTAGATATAGATTATGCTCGTGAACTTCCGTGCTCACTCACTCTCTACCCAGTGTATAGGAGATGTGCTTTCACAAAGTTATATGCCCGCGAACGGATAATCGAACGTTCGAAATTGTAGGATGCTAC